AATGCATACTCCTCTTGGCTCTTTGATGACCTCGACTCTCGTACATCAGGCACTAAGACTCTGTCGAGCCCCAAGGTCTAAGTGTATCTGACCTTAATCAATCTAGGCCTAGTCCTTACACCAAGTGGAGTCCATGACACTCCGAAATTAACGCCTTTTTCATCGATAGAGCCCCTTTGTCCTTAATGGATCAATCCTCATCCCCACGCAAAACTAGGGTGTGCCTTTGTTACTATTGGAAAATTCGCCCACTCAACTACCTAGACGGCCAGATGGCCTAAGCGGGTGGGGGTGGGAACATGCATAAAGGCGGGCCAGCCCAACGCCCGGGCGGGCAGCCGAGGCGGGATGTCTAGGCGGCCCACAAAAAATTATAGAGGGGCAAAAATGCCCCTCAATTCGGGGCATTTTCAGTTTTTCTGCCCACAATTCTTTTGAATTAAGACCATGGGCGGTCATTTTAACCCACAAACCCCTTGGAGAACCAATTTCAAGCCAAAAACACTCAAATCTGGAGTTGTTTTGAGAAATCCAAGATCAAACGAAAACATGAAATTCTCGATTTCTTGTGAAATTGAAAAGCTTTTGCACTCAATCTTTTGGGGCTTGAAGGGGTTGTGCAAAGAGGTTTTGGCAACCGAAACTCACCCTTTTGAAACTTGAAGGAATCTGTTTTAGAGGTTAGAGATTTTCAAGTTTTGGATTTGGGTTTTATGAGCAATTATATATGTCATAAGATATTTATACATATTATTTTTTCTGTTTTTTGTTTGTGATATTTGTAATTTATTTCATCTTTAGAAAGTGGAATAGTATGTTTTTCATGTGGTTTAACTTTGTTTACAAATTTGGATTAGGATTTCATCATCATCAACAAAGCCTTTTCCCAATTAATTGGGGTCGGCTACACGAATCCTGGTATGCTATTATGCTCTATTAAGGACCCATCCCCTTAGTGAGGCCATAAGTCACCATATCTTTTCTCACTACTTCCAACCATGTCCTTTTGAGTGTACCCTTTGCCCTTTTGAGCCTTCCACTTCAACTAACTCGGACCTCCTAACAGGTGTTGTACTAGGTTTGTGCCACATATGGCCAGCCCACCTAAGTCTACTTTCCCTCGTCTTATCACCTATTGGTGCCACACCTAAATTCTCTTGAATGTATTTATTTTGAATTTTATCCCTTCTTATCTTGCCAGTTATCCATCTCAACATCCTCATCTCAGCTACACTCATTCTATAGGTATGTTTTTTTTTTACCGTCCAACATTCCGCCCCATAAAGTAAAGCTGGTCTCACAGCTGTCCTATACAATTTTTCCTTCATCGTCATTAGTATGCGGCGATCACGTAAAACTCCGGCTGCAAATCTCCATTTCGCCCACCCAGTTTTAATTCTATGTGCGACATCTTCCTCAATCTCTCCATTTTCTTGGATTATTGACCCAATATATTGGAAGTGCTCTCTTTTTGGTATTTCTTGGTTGTCAATCTTAACTACTTCCTCGTCTCTACTATTATTTTTAAATTTGCATTCCATATAGCCTAACTTTGTCCGTCTAATTTTGAAACCTTTAGATTCTGAGCATCCTTCCAAAATTCATTGTGTTGATGCCGTTTTGGGTCTCATCAAACAAAACTATGTCATCTACAAACAACGTGCACCACGATACCTCATCTTGTTGGTGCATTGTTAAGTCATCCATATCTAATGCTAACCCCTAATGTAGACATATTGTCATTGAAAATTCACTTGTATCTCCACTAGTTGTCTCTCACCAAGTCGATGTAGTGTTTAGAGACTCCTTTCTTTTCCAACACCCACCAAATCAAATCCCTAAGAACTCTATCATAAGCTTTCTCTATATCAGTAAAGACCATGTGGAGGTCTTTTCCCTTCACTCTAAAGCTTTTAGGATTTGAAACCCAAAACTCATTAAATATAAACCAAATAAAACCCAATTCTTTCTTCAACTTGTCTGTTCATTATATTTGTGTTAATTGTGAATTTTCCAACTTTAGTATATTGATTTGTATAGTTTGGTTGTGTTTGAAGTTTTTAACCTTTCTACTTCAACTTTGGATTAGGATTTGAAATCCAAAGTTCAATAACCTTAAACCAAAATAAACCAAATTCTACTAGCCCCCCTTGTGTTGGGCTACTTGCCTAGTATTGGGGATCTCAGCGCAGCAAATACATCCTCATCCTCCTCTACTCCACAAATATCAATTGTCTTGAGGAGATCAGCTTGTTTCTTGAGACACATAAGGAAGCATGAGAATCATATGGTATCACAATAATGACAGATTTATGGAGTGATGGAAAGACCCGCAGTATTATGAACTTTGTGGTTAATTGTCCCTTAGGGACAGTGTTCCTTAGCTTTATAATGCATCTGATAAGATTCATAATGCAGAATTCATTTCTAAAACTGTCGATAAGGTTGAGATGAGGTGGGAGAAGAGTATGTAGTTCAAGTAGTCACGTAGTTGGTGGCAGCGAACTGCAGACCATTTATTTATGAGTAAGAGACCCCATATTTTTTAGACACTGTGCAGCACATTGTATTGACCTCATGCTTGAGACCTTTGCAAAGAAGAGCGCAATTGGAAATAACCCCATCAAAGCAAAGAAAGTATCAGTGTTCATATCATAGTTACAATCATAGCTAGGTAAATCGATTTATATCTTTCAAATTACAATCATAGCTATTTTACAAATTCTAAGTAGTGAGTTACTAACTTAGTATATACTCTTTATGCTTATGTAAATAGGTATTGGCCCCCATGAAGAAATACACAAAGAAGAGGGAGTTGATGAGGCCTGGGGCTACAAGATTTGCCACTGCATTTCTTGCCTCCAATCTATTTTGAGCCAAAAATCCAAGTTCAAGAAAATGTTTGTTTCAGAGAGTGGACCCAAAGAGAGTGGGCCAAAATGTCTAAGGGTAAGGAGACTACAAAAATTGTTATGGATGAAAGATTTTGGAGTGGAGTTAATAACCCCTTCTTGTGGTGGGCCCATTAGTGCAAGTGTTGAGAATGGTGGATGGAGAAAAGGAACCACCCATGGGTCATACTTATGAGGCAATGGAGATGGCTAGAGAGGAGATAAAAAATAAATTGGACAATGATGAAGAAAAGTATGCCCAATTCTTGAAAATGATGGATGACAAGTGGGATAAACAGTTGCAGAGGCCCTTGCATCTAACAGTGTACGTGCATATTTCTATGCTGACCCACATATGTGGACTCAGAGTTGCTTCATGCAAGCAATTAATGAGCGCACCATGAGACTCATAAAAGACCGAGATGTACAGATAGATTCTCAGCTGAACTAGAAAAGTATAGGTTAACTGTAGGAACACTTAGCTCAGAATTGGCAGTTAGGCAAAGGGCAAAGATTCCTGTAGGTATGTCCTAACAATTTAATTATTAAAAGTATTCTCTAATATATGTTCAAGATTTCTTTAAGTCATGTTCTCTTTATGTTTTGTGCCTACTGTCTAGCTTCATGTTGACCAAAAGGACATGGTTCGAAGTAGTGAGAACAGATATAGAAAACTTATGGCCTCATTGAGGGTATGACCCTTGATAAAGCAGAATGGCGGACCAAGATTCGTGCAGTCAACCCCAAATAGTTGGAAAAAGGCTCTGATGATGATCATCATCATCATGTCTAGCTTGGACAAATCATGGTAGATCAGCCCATTACCTATAGCAGATGGCTACTCGCATTCTTTATTTAACTTGTAGCTCATCTGGTTGCAAACATAACTTCAACACATTTAAGATGGTGGATACTACATAGCAGATAGACTTTTGAGTTTTGACATGAACTTTGCACTCTTTGTCATAATGTATTATATTTATGGACACATTTCAAATTATTAAATATTTCACAGGTGCATACAAAGAAGAGGAATAGGCACAAGCAGAAAAATATGAATAACGTGGTGTATGTGATATTCAACTAAAAGCTGAAAGAGTGTTACTTAGAGAGACATATTTGACCCCATTGTGCTGGAGAACATGGATGATACCAGTGAGTGGGTAGTAGATAAAGATAATGATGAAGAAGTCCTCCCTGGAGAGGGATTAACCTGGAGCCAAGCTCAAAGGCAGGTTCACCCCAAAGCCCTTCACGACTCACTAAATCACAAACAAAAGGGAAGAGGACCATGAGAATAATTGAGGAGGAAGAGGCGGGTTCAGAGGAGATCAAGGAAGATGAGCAGTATTTGGAGGAAGGGGATGACTCCGATGATGATGTCCTAGCATCATCATCAGCTTCAGATGTATCAGGTGGTGGAAGGGGCCTTGATATGGCTAGTTATGATTATTCATATATCTCAATTTCCTTTATGAGTTCATCATGCTCGTTTGAAACATTGGATGCTTTTTGTGCAAGAGTTGAAACTTTAATGTTTTAATTTTTATGAGTTGTGGTGGTTCTATATACGCTGTTCTTTAGTGCTTAACTATTTGATACAATTTATGATTCACGAATATATAAGTTTACCATTAGGTTTCTTTTCTTTTTTTTTTATTTAATTTTTAAATTAGGTATTTTAATTCATATCCAGGGGTGTTAGGTATTTAACCATACACTATAAAAAAAAACGACAATTTGGCGCCTATGTCTCTGGGTGCTCGCCTAGGCGGCTTAGATCCCCCATCACCTAGGTGCCGCCTAGCACGTTTTCCAACATTGGCTCTATATCACACCAATAACATGAGAGCCCGACGTAGAGCAATGCAAGAGTTATGGCCTTTAAAGCCCACAAAACCCAATATATATGGAAAGAGAGAGAGAGAGAGAGAGAGAGAGAGTGCAAGAGAGAGACCATAATAGGGCACTATCACCGGCCATCATTTCATTGGATGGTAATGATCTCCCAAGAGACAAGTTTCCATTGTCCAATAGACCAGATGATAATTTCTCTCAAGACACAACTGATTGAAAGAAATCCACAATAAGATATGAGCATAATCGCACCTCACCAGTACCCTGCTTGGCTTGTAATGTAAAAACAATATCTAAGCATTTCTTGATGTCAGGAATCTTTGCCTGTGACCAACAAAGAAAAGAAACAAACGTCAAACAAGTATTTTGTTCTTGATAATTAACTATATGGAATTGTCAAATGATTGTGCTTCATATAAGTAGAAAAAGCATATCAAGATGATGTAGCAATACAAGTGAAAACTTTACAACTCAATTAAACACATGCAGAAAGATTTCTAATATGGCAACTAAGAAGTATAACTATAAAACAATTCATTTATCCATCAAAAGCTTCACTAAACGAGTGAGTTTTCTTGTAGTGCTAGAAGATAACAAATGTGGAGTATCAAGCACCTGAAGATCCCTCTGTTGAGCAAGAAGTTTCATTTCTGCTACCTTGTATTGTTGAAGCCTACAAAGATCAAGCCTCGCATGTAAGTGCCTATATAAAACAATATCTGCAATTGCAACTTCAACTCCTACATTTGTTGTCATTGATACGATAGTTGTTGTCGTTGTTGTTGTGTGTGTGCATACGCATCTCCACGAAACTTTAAATGCATCTACAATAAAAAGGGTTTGACAACACTCCACTAAAAGTCAAACAATTTTTATTTTTTTTGGGTTAGAAGGAAACTTTTAAAATGCCTTCTAACATTAATAGAGTTTAACACCAGTGGTTGAAAATTCAATGACCCAACTCAGAATCGCCACAGTTGGCTCAGAATTAGGTGGTGCCCTAGTTCCAGATGGTCCCGAACAAGGGAATCACCAAGGATATCTAGGACCAAGTGGTTCACTATAGTGAAGAACTCAGTTTACTGTGAGAGTCAGGCAATTACCAAGTCTTGGGCAACTTTTTTTCTTTTTTCAAGTTCGTTCTTTTTTCGCCATTAGGTTGAGTCGCCCAGATTCGGCAAGCCGACTTGGGAATAGGCAATCCCACTTGGATCGGTAAGTGCCCTACCCATACCCCCGCTTCTAGTTTTTCAAATATTTTCTAATACCACTCCTTACAAAAGGTCGGTTTCTTGTTTCCCATACCTTGAGACAAGCTAGACACATTATGGTGACGACTGTTCTACAACTTTATTATACCAAAACCAATGTCCAAAAATTCGGCTGCCCAAGGCGTCCTTGCTCCTGAGCGCCTGCCTAAGCGACCAAGGCGCAGCCTAGGCGACCAAGGCGCAGCCTAGGCGACCAAGGCGCAGCCTAGGCGGTCGCCTCAAGGCAGGTGCCTTGGAATAAGGCCGATTAATGGGGTAATATCCCTTGAGCTTCCAATTCTAAGAGTAATGTTCACAGTAAAAGGGCGAAAATTCAAGTGAACAAGGTTCAATCTTATATGTGTTGGGATAAGGAAACTACGAATAAACACATGTACTGTCAAAAATATCAATAAACAAATGAATACTTACACATGTGCTCTCAACAATATTATGACTTCGATGTGTTGGGCAAGGGAACTATGAATAAATAAATAAATACCTCAATGTGTGCAGTTGTTTATAAAAATATTAGAATGGTATTGTAGCCCCTACAGACAATCCCATGTAGAAGTTTGTTTCTACATGTGTAAGTGGTTGGACATAGATGGACATCTACGGCAGTTGTTTATAAAAATATCAATAAAAACATAGATTAAAAGTGTGCTTTCAAAATTTCTACACATGTAAGTTGTTGGACATGGATGGACATATAAGGCAGTTGTTTATAAAAATATTAATAAATATATAGACACCTGTCCATCTAAGGCACTTGTTTATAAAAATATTAATAAAGACATAGACACTTACAAGTGTGCTCTCAAAATTTCTACACGTGTAAGTTGTTGGACATAGATGGACATTTAAGGCAATTGTTAACAAAAATATTAATAAACACATAGACACTTGTCCATTTGAGGCAGCTGTTTATAAAAATATCAATAAACACATAGATACAAGTGTGCTGTCAAGATTTCTACACGTGTAATTATTCCCTAATTATTTATATCATTTATCTTATTATCTATAATTATCTAAGAAGATAGATAATACTTGTTGAGTTCAAGTCTAAAGTTCCAAGTGGGCTCGCCACAAAACTTAGCCAAATCCAAGCCTTGAAACTATGTTAAAATGAGGGAACCAAGAAGGCATGGATATTCTGGCAGCTTAACTGACACTTATCCATCAAAGTAATTTAGGTTTATGGTGACAACATGAAAAAACCAAATTCTTTTTGTCAAATGCTAGGGCATAAAATACTTGCCATGAGAACAACTCGATTTTGATCCAACAGCATATGGTGGACACCGATTCTAGGCAAAGATGTGTCTTTAGACTTCATAATTGAAGAATTGAAACTCCAAACCAAATTTGACCAGAGAACACACAAGACAACCTCAAACCAAGAAAAATTTCAAAAGATATGCAAGGGTCCTGGATTTGACTCCGGATTTTTTATAAGCAACCTTTTGATTTACACTCTCCCACAATTTGGTAGTGAGAAACCTCCGACTGACTTCAAATCTCAAGCTACATAGTAACAAGACAAAACCAAACACAAATATACCCATAGGGCTAATGATTCTTGTTTACCCAGCATAATTAAGGCAAGGGATCTCTGCAACTTTCCTTGGCCCCCAATAGCATTGAGGATTTAGGAAAAGCCCAAATTCTCTCCTACTCGTGGGTAATCCTCAAGCATCTTAGCCTCTAACCTTCTTCCTAAACGCAATACTTTGATCAAGCTTACAACCTCCACGAGGATAGGTTGGATTGGGCCAATTCTCACCCTAGCAAGCTCTCTAGGTTGGGGACTCAAGGAGGTTGGGATGAAAATTCACCCAAGCCTACAATTCTCTCTCTAAACCTTTAATCAAATGTCCAATTAATAATCAACCCCTCAAATGGCCAAGGGGTCGGGAACAGTTCCCAAATTTCTCATTGGAGGTCGTGATTCCCATTCAGAAGCCCGATTCAACGATTCCGACTAAGAATCTTCACGGAACTTTGTTTCCGTGAAGTCCAAAATCTTGATTCCTTATGTTAGGAATCTCGATTCCAACACTTATAGAATCTCGTTTCCAATACTTATTGATTCTTAATTCCAGAATTGGTGAATCTAGGGGTGGCAATGGAACCAGATCTGGACCCGGCTAGGGAGCCGAGGACCCGTATGGGTCCAAAAATTTCACCCAGAAGGTCGGATCCAGGTCCAAATCTTGGATCCGAACACTATTCGCGTCAGGGTCCATGTGGACTCGACCCAAATAGTATTAATATTTAAACAATATTTAATATGTAATATTTTAATAAAATTTAAATAAATATAACCATAAATTTTTAGATATAATATTTAAATAATACATGTATATATTTAACATAATATTTGAATATATTTAAATTATATTTTTTTTTATTTGTGGGTTGGGTCCGGGTCTGGGTCCCATAAATTTTGTTCGGGGTCCAAACCGAACCCGACCCATTGCCACCCCCAGATGAATCTCGATTCTATACTCGTTGAAACTGGTTTCCACATTTACCAGAAATTTACCGCTTCCCTCTTTTCTTTTTTGCTTTTTTCTGAGATGCTTAGAAGTTTTGAAGGCATCAAACTTCTCGAGCTAGACACTCAATCTCAAGCTAGAAGGTGTATTCATATTTTTTCGCATGAAATGACCAATAGAAACCAAAGTGATGGTCATTCTCTAGTTAATTCTTTAAGTATGCACATATTGATCCGATGGCGAGATTGCAACTTCAATATATTAGAAATAATGTAATACAAATAATATAAACATACATGTATAGAAATGTCTGTCAATGAATGGCATTGAGACATGTATTGTTTACCTCTTAGTTCCCACTCAATTCCAAAGATGTTGGAATCTCGATTCTATAAATGAAAGAATCTCGATTTCATATTGGTCGATTCCAACTAGGTCGAAAACTCAATTCCAATGAGCTTAGAATTTCGAACCATCTTTGTAGGGATCTCAATTCTATTTAGGATGAATCTCAAGTCTTAAAAATACGAATTTCATCCCCCATGATTCCTCTTGTACAGATGTCGGTTCCAAAAACAATAATCTTCCAGCCGCGGCAGTTCCATGCTTCCGATTCCTAAATCGATTGGGTTTCCAAATCGCTTCGGGTAACTATGGGGTGGGGTATTTACAGAATTGGGGATGAAATTAGAGGTTTGCCCCTTTTTTGTATCTTAGCGGCAAGTCAGTCATGGGTTTAAGGCCAAAACATCACCCATTTGACATTGGAACATATGCCCTACTTCCATCATCAATTTTCCTTCCCATTTTAGCTCAATCACTATGGTTCTTGTACCAATTTTGCTCCACAGATCAACGGGAACTTGAGTTCAGAATCATTTGGCACAAATCTCACCAAAAAACTCCACATATTCATGAAGTTATAGATAAACTTCAGCAGGTCCTATTTTCGCCTCCAATAGGCTTCAATTTGTTCTTAAGCCTTGGGGCCAATGCTGCCATGAGCTATGTAAATTTGTGAAGGATTGAGTGAAGACTATATCTGCCAATTTTTTTCAGCTCAAAATACCTTATGGTTTCAAAGAAATTGAAGAGAGAAGGCATGGGGTAGTGCAGCCTGCTACAAGCCAATGCCCCTTTGTAATCTTTGCTTTGGTATTAAACCACTTTGATATTTAAATGAGTTTGTAGAAAGTGAATGAGGAACATTCCCTCCAATTTCAGTTCATTTCACCATGGGATTTGAGGGAAATCAACGGAACAAAGCTCTGGGATCATTGCAGCCTGGGGCAGTGCTCCTATTTGGAATTTGTGGTGTCAATGTAGCCACAATCAGTGTGGCACATTTCCTAGCGTCAGTGCAGCCAGTTAGGACCTCGGCATGGCCAGTTTTGTGACTCTCAGGAAATGGGTCAATTGATATCAAAAGGCCCCAAATTTAGGGTGATGAACCAAGGACACCCTAGATTAAACTTCCACCCATTTCGGGCTCATTCTGACTTCTCCATACCAAGGTTTCAAAAAACGCTTGGCAGCCTGCCTGGCGCCCAGCCCCTAGGCGGGCGCCCAGAACCTCGGGCGCCAGGTAATTTAAAAAAAACGAAAAACGCCTAGCCTGCCGGCCCAGGTACATCCGCCCGTGTAGGGCCGCCTGGGTCTAGGAAGGCGGATTTTTGGTCCATGCCGCCTAGGCGCCAGGCAGACCGTTTTTTAAAACAATGTTCCAAACTGGGGTATTGACCAGATTTACCCTTATGATCCAAACGACAGTTAGGTGTAGTCCAGTGACCTAGATAGCTTGATTTTTGCAAAGATGTCCCTCTTGGCTCATCTTTTAGTATCCTCTGAATTTTGCCTCATTCCAAGGCTGTTTCGAGGCCTTACAGAGGGCACTTAGCCTAGCTTGAGTTAGGGAGTTTAATTTCAAGTTATACTTAAGTTAGGACTTTTTAGTCAAAAGTTATTTGTATGGACAAATATTGTCCAAAACAATAAATTTTCAATATAAATAGGGGTGTGGATGGGCTGGAGAGGCATTCACGCATTCCCCTTTTCAGAAAAAAAGAAACACTTTTTCTTGGAAAAAAAAGAAGCCTAAAATTGAGCCCTACGTGGGAGGAAGCAATAAGGTTTTTCCAAAATTACATGTATCAGGGTGTTTTCTTGCTGATTTCTATTGTTTCTTTAAGTTCTCTACATCAACCTTGCCGAGGCCGAGTTACTCAGCTGAGTTCAAGTACACTAGGACAAGTCTTCAAACATTGATAGAGAGAGAAGAAAAGAACAGGAAAAAAAAGTAAATAATAAGACTAGAATAGAGAAGGAAATGTGAAAACTCAAAGGAAGATAAAAGGTCTAGACCCTAGTTGATATGGCTAACAATTGAAAGAAAAGGGAATGCAAAAAAAAAAAATGCAAGATGTTGTGAGAAACAAATGCGCCATGCAAAAAAGGAAACAACAAAAGAAACCCAACAGAAAAATTAAGAAACCAATCACTTGACAACAGGACAAAACAATTTTCAATGCATATAATTATTGATAAATATGTAAATATGTAAGGAAAAACACAAAACAAAAACAGTTTTATCCACCTCAATGTCAAGAAGGCACCACAACCACGATGTAAGTACCATGCCTGCAGCCTTGTAGTTATGTTTAGCATATTGAAGGATTGGGTAGCTCCACAATACCATTAAACAAAATAGGAAAGGAATAAAGCACAAAACAATGACAAACTTAACAAGAATGAAACAAATATATTAAGCAAACATTACGTTCGAATCACCTAACATAAAAATGTAAACCCAGAAAAGAATCAGATAACTGGAAACCTCTAAGCACCTCAAATAAAAGGACACATGTATTCAAGAATAACAGGCTACAAAATAGGAGATCACAATGAGTGTTAAACAAAATACATCAAAAAAACCAGACTTAATCCAACGAGATGAAAAACCAATATGCCATTCTAGGTTCCCAATAGTTTATTAGGCATGCATCAGAAAAGAGCATGTGATCCACGATACCATGGAACACCAAAACCCTGATTTTCAAATTCGAATGCTGACATAGAAACCCATAGTAAAAACTCTCCCAAAATCATGAAAAGAAGGAAAAGGAACAACAAGTACATAATGATGGTAAATAAGATAATTAAAGAACTGACCTTTCTTGAAGAAATCCTAGGGCTGAGTTGGCATCGAAACCAGATTGGGTGAGAAAGGTGTGCACATCTTCAACGAATGAAGCAGCAGGTATTCCCCTTCTCTCTGTTTCTGTTGGAGATGAAAATGAAGTCGCCATGGCCCTCCCTCTCTCGAGGAACCAGCACGACACTGAATGGTTTTAAAAGGAAGACATCGAAATTTAAGAGCCCCTTATTCGGGTCAAAATATCTTTGTTACCCTTGAGCGGGAGGAGGGAATTCTTCCATTGGTTCGAACTGCGAAATCGCTTGCATGCAAAATTCAAGGTTCTAAATTTTGGAATGGTATACCACGCGACCACTTATTCACAATTACTACTAGTCATTAAATATTAAATTTGATGGTTTGGGATGTGTTATTGGAGTTATTTTTTTGAATTTTAAGTCCAATCAATGACATGTTTGTAATCGTACAATTTGAGATATGAGAGACAAGAGTGATTTTGATCTCTTTATATTAAAAATAAAAAAAAATTGTTTAATACGGGCCCGAACTACATTTCTACATAAGCGGTCTAGAAGTATAAAGCATCCATCTTAAAGATGGATGCAAATAAGTGGTCCATCTAAAACAATTGAAACTAACGGTCCAAATGTTTTGTTAATAAAACTATTATTTCTAGTTCTTTTAAATTAATTCATTTTTTCTTTGTCCAAAAATTAATTCATTTTTCTATATTTCACGATCTCCATGTTGGAGATTAGGTGTCCTTAAAAATTAAGTCTAAAAATCCATCTCAAAAATATATTTATTAAAGGCCGCATTTCTACGTGCGCAAGCTTGACCCGCATGCTAACCGCGTCCAAAAGCAAATGGTCTCTTTGCATACTTTTACTTAAAATTTGGGAGAGAATCTTCAAAAATTATATTAAGGCTATTTGTTTCACCCCAACTTTTAAATATATATTCTTTTAATTCTAATGAACATTCACAAAAAAAACTCAAAACATAACTCGAAAAATAATTTTTTAGCTTAATTAACCATTTTTGTATCTAAGCTTTAAAAACATTATTTTCTTTTCTAAATTGTTTAAATAGATGTATTATCATTAAATTAACAATTGTAAAAAAATAAACATTGATTTTGAATTCTTAAAGGTGTAGATCTTGAAATTCACCAAATTGATGATCTAGATTCATTATTGGAGGAGACTCATTTTGACAATATCTAGGGTACAAATTGAATTTTATTTTTGTGAGAATTATTATTGGCATGAAAAGAGTGTCTGCAAAATTTTAGGAATCATATACAAATTGCTTTATGATTATTTGAATTTTGAGTTTGGAGACACTTAGACCTAGCCCTTCAAAAATTGGATGGTCTCGATTCAATCTTGTGGACACTAGTTTTTTCTAGTACATTGAGAGTTTATTTGAGATTTTTATTAACTGAGATTAGTCTATGGCTTGTAGATATTACATCCGCAAAATTTTGAGATCTAAAAAGTATATGAGATCTAAAAAGTATCCTTTAGCATGTATTTTGCTCGAAGGAGTAAATGAATAGTACACTCCTACCGGAGTAGGAAGTCTTTTTGGATAAATGAAAAGCAACCAATATATAGTTATGTTAAGGTGCTTAAACATGGAGTAATTTATCATTGTACTCAACAAAATTTAGACATTTTTATACTCTTATTTTGTACATAAGGTATTTTTTTAATAAGGATATTTTTTATCATTAAGATGGATGTGACGTTATCTATATAAAGTATGACATCACCCATGGCCACACTAAAAAAAAAGCTCTATGTATAAAACAAGGGCATATATGTGTCCAAATTTTGTTGAATATAATAATAAATTACTCCATAGTGTGAGCACCCTAACATAACCCTATAAAATAATTTATTATTTTACTTAACAAAATTTGAACACATATATACCCTTGTTTGGTATATGAAGCTTTTTCTAGAATGACATTTTTGGTAATTAAGAGGGGTATAATGTCATCTGCATAAGGTGTAACATTACTCACATAAAACATTAAATGAAACTAGTGTGCTTCATATAGGTAATGTCACACTCATATGGGTGATGTCATATCCCTCTTAATGACTAAAAATATCCATATTAAAAAAATCCTTGTACAAAACAAGGGTATAAAAGTGTCAAAAATTATTGAGTGCAATGATAAATTACTCTATTTGAAGGTAAGCTCTAATTTGATTATTTAGAACCTAGGCTTTGTACAAACTGCACTCTAACATATTATAATTAGATATATATACATATATATATATATATATTATTTTCACCTCACCCTACAAAATCTCTTTCTTCCTGTTGCACAACAAGCTCCCTCGTAAATCTTATTCATTCAGAACTAATTCCAAGCCATTCAAATCCCCCTCCCCCTCTTAAATCTCATTCATTTAGTGCTAATCCAAGCCATTCAAATGCCCCCCGCCCCCTCTTCTCTTATTTGCTCAAAATGTGAATGATCAGGAAGCGTAAAAAGCAAAGGTACACAAATTGATGATGAAAGTTCATCATCCCTTTTGAGGAATACCTCTGTATGATGGATTACATATACATAGTGAATAATACAAGTTCATCATCCCTTAAAGGATTACCTCTGTATAATGGATTACATATACATAGTAAATAATATGATTCATAAAGAAGAAACAATACATCTCGCCTATAAGACATTAGATGACTTCTCTAATCTCCAGCTACTACTAGGTTTCTTTCACTTTTTACTCTTCTTCACATGGAATTTGTCTATCATCTTTGTTTTTAGGAAAATTGTTTCGTGCGGGCTGGACTGCATGACTACATATGTGGTCCAAAAAGTGTAAAGCATCTATTTTAAAGATGGATGCAAGTAGGTATTCTATCTAGAAACAATGGAATCTAACGGTTCAAATGTTTTCTTACTATAATTATTATTTCTAGTTTTTAAAATTTATTTATTTTTTCGTATACATGATCTCCATGTTAGAGATTACATGTCTTTAAAAATCAAGTCCAAACATCCATTTCAAAAATAGATTTATTAATAGTCCCGCATTTCTACATATGCGGGTTTGGCCGCATAGAAACCCGGTCCTTGTTTTTATTGATCGGCCTATCTGGGCATATCTCTCTTACCTCTCCCTGCGTGTCTCTCGAATTCACTTCATCATTCCTTTTATGTAATGTCTAACTTTGACATCATGGATGTTATCCATAAACATCACCTAATAGCGGATTATGCAACATTAACCTCTGCTATTAACTTTTCCATATTGTCAAAACATTAACCCAACACTAAGTTGCAGACTATTTTTAAGTTGATGAATTATCGAGTCGAATTTGCTAATTCAGTGTCGCATCGGTCGATGCCGGACACTATAGAAATATCTTTAAAATGTGTCAAAGATAGATTTACCAAGGGCTGCACTGAACAATTATGGACTACCCTTGATATAAGCTCTATATGAGCATGAGCCAAGGTTTGATGATTGCCAAAGGGTTGACATGAGCTTTGTATTGAAATAGGAGTCAATGTATAGCAACAATAATGAGCATGAGCCTCCTCGGATACACATCGCTCTTGATAAAAGCTTTGTAGAAGCATGAGTCATATTAGAGATTGATCTTATCAGCCATAAGTTTTATTTGTAAATTACATATTGAATTTTTACTTAAATATTAGATTGTGATAAATTTTTGAAACCGTAATCCATAAATTGCAAAGTAGATTATTGATATTGTTCAGGACCCTAATTTATAGATTTACTACAATTTTTTGAAACCCTAATCTTACATACTATTTATTTTAATTTTCCAAAAGCCTTATTTGTAGATTACTTGAAAAATACATGATATATTACACTAATTTCTCAAATCCTAATATACATATTAGTTGCTATAAGTTTTTGAAACTATAATCTATAAATTGGACGCAATTCTCCCTACTTATTGAAGAAGGGTTGTAGCCATTCTACTCTATTTGGACGGCGTAGATTTTGCACACATTTTAAGAGGGAAACCAGGGCGTTTTGGTGCTTTTCCTTTCCCCATCACATAGATCCCTTCACACACGGTGCTGGTAACAAAATTCAGAGAGAAGCCTAGAGATGCCATGAAAGAATATACAAATAAACCTAACCTATGTGAAAGGAAAGTGTAATATTGTTTACTAGGTTAATATGGAAAGTATATATTGTAAAACAAGATATTGTACCTATACATACTGATTACAATATACAACTTCCATATTAACCTAATAGACAATATAGATTTTCCTTTCACAACCTATAGCTCTACAATGTTAAATTTAGAAGGTTTCGAAAACCCTAGTTTTCCTCCCAAGTATCCTAGGGTTTTCCTCCCAAGTATCCTAGGTCATTAGCTTTATGGATGAAACCAGTGGTATCGTCCATGAAAACCTAAATTTCTCTTAGAAGGTTTCTATCACAACACTATTGAAATTAGTGGTGAGGAAAATCCAAAAATACTAGTGGTTTTTTCTTAGAAAAATCACATGGTGATGAAAACCCGATGAAGCTAATTATTCTTAAAATAATAAAAAAATCCCACCTCTAATTATGAATAAAAAATTGAAGTTCTATGTACCGTTGATATCAATATTGAGAAGCATCATCCTGTGTTCTCAAAATTTCAAAGTAACTTTGATATCAATATTGAGAAGCATCATCATGTGCTCTCAATTTTTCAAAGTAGCTTAAAATGGTCTTTAGAGTCAAATCTAGATGAGATGAATCACACACTTAGGGTGTGTTTGATAACTGGACGTTAGGGAGGAAGAAGGAACTTCCCCATTACTGTACAAGTTTCGTATTTGATGCACGGAACTTATACAAAAAGTTCCATCTAAAATGATGGAACTTAAACTAGGAACTTGGTTCCTCAAACCCTATTCTGCCTCCCTCCTTATTTTATATTTATATTGGTAATTTATATTTTGTATTTATATTTATATTATATTATAATATTTTATTTTATATATTATATATAATATAAATATATATTAATAAAATAAATATAAAATACACTATATTATATATTATATTACGTTATATATAATATATATTTTATATTTTATTGTTTTATTATATAATATATTTTATTTATGTAATATATATTTACAATATTATATATAATAAAC